CGCGGCCCATGTTCGGGGATAATCGAACTATCATGCACTTGCAAATTTCAGCGATTACAGTAGTTGTCGGCTTTCCTCAAGCATGGAAAGCGTTATCGGTGGATTTTTCTTCAAGTATAGAAAACCGCCAAGTCGGCTTTCCTCAAGCATGGAGAGCGTTATCGGTGGATTTTTCTTCAAGTATAGAAAACCGCCAAGTCGACTTTCCTCAAGCATGGAAAGCATTATCGGTAGATTTCTTCAAGCATAAAATGACACCAAATTCATACTTCGACTTTCCTCAAGCATGGAAAGTATCATCCGGTAGGTTTCTTCAGGCTTAGAAAACTACCAAACTCCTCAGTTGGCTTTCCTCAGGCATGGAAAGCGTTTCAACGAACGTTATCCTGTGGATTCCTTCAAGCATAGGAAGCTGCCAAACTCATTTGTCACCGATACACTGGTGCCAGATACGTATTATATCCTTTTACTCTTTTATCTATGGAATTAACATTTTTCTGCAGGTATCGGCGTGTACAGAGTGATTTAGGATCGCAGAACGTCTTAAATCATTCTCCGTCTCTATCGTCTACTTTGACTATCATTTTCGAAACTGACGTTTCTACAAACTCAGTCAAAGTGGGGGCTTCTGTAGACACCTAAAAATGTCTCTCCAAAACCAAACCTGATGATGAACAACCTTTCACCGCCACTATTGGTCGGGTTCAGTATTTAATCCCGAGAGTGCTTAAAAATTGTATTTGATTAAATTTGTATTTTTAAATAGTCCATGGATTAGTCTCGATGTTTGGTAAAAACATGGTTTTAATTTCAGCCCAAACTTATTATTTAATTTAGCCCAAACCTTTTTTTTTTTTATTTTATTGTTTTATTATTTATTTTTGGCCCAAACCTTTTATTTATTTTATTTACTTATTTTCTTATTTTAGCCCAAATAACAATAAATCAGAAAAAGGCCCGAAATTATCAATCGACACTTAAAATGCTGAACGAAATTAGGGTTAAAAATGAATTTAGACGGAAAAGCGGACTGAAAATTCTCACGCCACGACAGCTGTCCACCGTGTCATGGGAAACTTTCCCGTCTGACGGTGGGATTTCTTGTGACACGGGAAACCTGCTGTGACACGAGAATTTCCGTGTCCTTTCCGCGTAAACCCTTAACGTGTTTTCTCCCCCGTTTACTAAATATTTCCCGCGTCACACAAAATTTGCACCGTGTCATGGGAATGTTTCCCGTCTGACGGGTGGATTTCCCGTGTCATGGTACAGTTTGCCGTGTCGCGGGATATTTTAGGGGTTTTATCATTTTAGGGTTCCGTTTGTTCCCTCAGCACATTTTTACTATAAATACCCCCTCATTTCTGATGTACGGGGCATAAATTAATTCTCTATTTTTCTCTCTTCTATGCTCTAGCCTAAACACTAGCCTACCTTTCTTATTTCAAAATTCCTTCTTCAAGTACTACAAAGAGTCCATACTTTACTCGTGGTTCTGTCCTTAAGCCAAGGCATGAAAGGTAGAACTGTTTGAGGGTTTGGTTCCAAATCAACTATACTTTATTTAGTTTAATTTAATTATTGTATTATTATTATTTCTTTGAAGTTACTAACTAGTTTATTATTTTGTAGTTGCAAACAAACAGAATCAAATTAAGAATTATGTTCCTTTTATTTCTATTATTTTTCTAACGATTTTGTATTGTTAGAATTATTGTTAAATTGCTTCCAATATTGATGTTATTTTATTATTTATGATCACCATATTGCATGTTTAAAGGGAATATGTAATTGAAAATCACGCCTAATAAGATAATTTGGACAACCGGTTTAGGATCCTTTTAAATCTTGTTGTTAGTTGAAGTGATCACAAATATTTTAGAATTATATGTTGCATTAATATTCAACCAATTTAGCGTAATAATAGTTTGGAGCGAATTGAATATTTTGTTTGTATGCCTTTGAGATCGCAGGAATGCTTTTTACTATAAGAATCGAGTAAAGGCTAATACGCGCAAATGTGACTCCATGACTCACTTCGTACCATCATCCCCGATCCTCCTTTCGTGGTTCCGAACCATATGGAGTTAGTAATCTCATGGATTATGAATGGGGTGTAACCTTCACGGGTTAGTCGTTGTTGTCTTCGTTGTCCCTTATTCGTGGTTGCCTTTTATGATCCGTGAACGGTTTACAAGTTCCTTAAAAAACTTGTTGGCGGCTCCCTACTTTATTTATCCCTAATCGTATTATGTCAATTCCCAATTCCTATGAGTGCCAAGAATATTCACACATGCTTTAACGTAGGCGCACTTCAAACGACGCCTACAGACACGGTGAGAAATACCGAGTCACGGCAGCAAGTACCGTGTCAGAGCAACAGGTACCGTGCCACGGTGGAATTTGACACAAAAAATCTTCAAAAATGGCACCGTGACATGATATCGTGTCACGGCACTAGGCACCGTCAGACGGGGGAAGGCACCGTCAGACGGGGCACACTCCCGTGACACGGTGCTTTTGCACTGTGCGCGGTGATTCTAGTTTTTTTACCCGTTTTTAAAATCATCATAACTTTTGATCCGTAACTCGGAATAACACATAAAATATATCATTAGAAAGCTTATCAAGTATACTTTCCAATCCAATTGAATCAGGTCAAAATGATTTTTAGATTTTAATATATGGCCGTTTTAGTGGAAGGGTTTTGTTTTTGGGCCGAATTTAGTGTTTTGCTCATATCTTTTTCGTTATAGCTCGGAATTGGGCTTATGATATATGGTTGGAAATCTTATTTTAAGGCCTATCCAAAAAAATAATAATTGGAACAAAATTATGTAGTCATAAAATCAATTTCTCTCGATTTTGCAATATGGACACGAAAAGTGGAAAATAGGTTATGGTTTAGGGAAATGAGCTAGAAATTGGATTGGTTCATGAAATATATTGGATAGAACATGGATTTAAGAACTCCAAAGATTAAATACTCAACCCGATCAATAATGGCGGTGAAAGGTGTTCATCATCGGGTTTGGTTTTGGGGAGACATTTTTAGGTGTCTACAGTATGAAAAATATAGTGTAAAATAGAAATGCATATACAGATGATAAGTTAAAGAAAAGTCTAATATAATACAATAAAATAATGAAAAAAATAACCACAATAAGTCGAAGTCAAACTTTAGGCGATCCTCTAATATTAATTTAACTTTAGTAAATTAAAAAATAATGATATTCCATAAATAATTTAAGTACTGAATTTTACTTGTGACCGGTCAAAGAAGTCATCATTTGACTTATACTATAATTAACTCTCAATTTAAAAAGAATTGTCTTAATTAAAACAAAATATAGCTTAATATTAACTTAAATATAAAAAATTAATTTTAATTATAATAAATAATATTTTTAAGATACTAGAGTGTCGGGGTTGGTGTGGAGAGCTTGGTGGTCATAAGTTCGAGCCGACTAAGGTGGGTGCGTATGAGTTTGATCGATTGACTAAGTTGTTACTAGGTGGAAGTTCGCTGCATAAGTGTAGTTTGAGAGTAAGGGTTGGGATTAGGTTGGGAGTTCATCACATAAGTGGGGTTCGAGAGTTAGAGTTAAGGTTTGGCTGGGTGTTCACTGAACTAGTTGGGATATTAGGGTGTAAAGTTAAAATATATCCAATAAAAAGAACCGATGTAGTATTAGAGCAACTCTTATAGTAAACTAATTAGCAAATTAGTTTTATAGGCTACATAAGATTTTAAAACTAAAACTAATTTCTTTTGTAGCTAGTTTGTGCCCTGACTACTAGCTTGTGGTATTTGCTAGAGTCCTAGAGAGAAAAAAGATCTATCATGCAGGTGTAAAAAGATTGCAGTTTAGCCCGAGCAATCTGGAGTAAGTGCAATTATTCTATGGTTTTGTCTCACTCTCTTTATAGTATGGGTGACTGATGAGAGCACTGTTTTGATGATTTTGGGGAGGATATGGTGAGTTTAATTACCATGTGTAGGGCTATGTAGGGCGCAAGGACAAATGGATGATTGAGGGTGAAAATCTGAATGTTGAGCAAATTATTGCCTATGCTTTAATACGAAGGGGAGTGAGGTGGAAAAGTTGAATAACAAGGGGAATAGATGGGTGGAAAGAGTGTCTTTGTAGGCGGGTCTCCTTCGGCATCTGATGTGGTTAAAATTATTGTTGTTGCAGGTGTTTTGGGGGAGGTGGGGACATGGCTGGGTGCAGTCTGCAGGACTTGTGGGGGGGGGGTGCTTTGGGGATCTACGGTGTAGTGGAGTGAAAAATGAGAGACTAAGATGGAGGTGAAAGCGATATTTTAGGGCATGAAGATTGCTAGACATAAGGGTATGAGCCGCATTGGAGATCGAGAGTTAATCTAATGGTGATTGAGGCAATGAGGAAGCGTTTGCATGGTTCCAGTTCCTTTCATCTGATTAGTAAGGATATTCTAGATTTTTTCCCCTAATTTTACTAGTGTTTCATGGTCTTTTGTAAAGCGAGGGGGTAATAATGTAGTACACAAATTGACTCACTTTCAACCATGGGAGTTTATCCAACGGGTGTGGAGTGACGTAGTCCCTTCTCGCATTTTGGAATTTCTTTGGTTGATCTAGATGGTATATCCGTTTTACACAGAACACTAACCAACTCATATAATTAACTAAGTCATACAATTCTACACTTGCTAAGTTGCTAGTCTGCAACTGCATTTATAATAAAATGTAAATGACCGTCAGCTGATGTTAAAACCGCAAAGGTAACACTACCTATACAATTGCATAATTCACACTTGGCCATGACAAAAAGAGTCTCCTAACTACATTTTTAGGAAAACTCTTCCTAAACACATTTAACACATGATAAATTGTGATCGACTTATGTTACCATACTTTCTTTTCGTTTGTTAATGTAATTCCGGTGGTTTTAAAAATTTAAAAAAAACTTACAAATAAAATAATATAAGGTTTTTTTTTTTTTTTTTTTTTTTTTTTTTTTTTTTTTTTGTACGAGACAAATTATACTAGCTTTGGTATGGGAAGGAAATAGAAGTGTAAAAATAAATTTATATTTTGTACCTTTTCAAAGAGGTTTACTCTAAACCCATTTATTTATTAGACGGATCTAACCCTTTAATAACTATGGCGGGTCATAGGGATCCAAGGCGTCCAACCCATAAAATTGGTGTCTTTGAGATTAGTGAGATATCCATTGAAGCGCATTCAACGTTCTCCATTGAAGCGCAGTTGGCGTTCTCCGTTGAGTCTAGTTTTTGTATCCCCATTGAAGCAGCTTCTGAGGTAAGTTGTTTGTATTTGTTATCATCATGTCAAATATCCCTAAAATTTGTTTGCAAATGTATTGCATAACACTTTAATGTGAGGATTTAACTATGAAGTCAGAGCTCTTTTCCCTGGGCCCAGGGGGGCAGGGGGTGCCCTGCCTCAGGGACGGGCCTGGTGCACACCTGAATTAGCAATTGCAACTTTTATTTTGAATTTAATATTTGATTTCACTGCATGAATTAGCAATTGCAACTTTTAAGTTCTGGGTATTGCTATGCTAAATGCTAATTGCAAATCTCCTTGCTTTTGCCTATTTGGAAATAATGCTCACCACCTATTCGAAGAAATGACAGTAGAATTGGAAGATGAATTGGATATTAGATTTAGACTAATTATGGGTTTTGATTTTATATTCTAGAATTGGAAGATGATAAACAATAGTTTAGAATACTTTTGGAAGGGAGGTGGAGGTGGAGGTGGAGGGAAGTCACAAAGATCTTGGGGACTATCCATGATGTTAGTTGTAACTAGAGCTGGTTATTGGGCGGGTCGGGTCAGGGTCGGTGCGGGTTGGTTGCGGGTCAGGGTCAAAGAGGGTCACATTTTATAGGGTCAATATAGGGTCGGGCCAATGCGGGTTGCGGGTCGATAATAGGCGGGCCTACAAAATATCAATTAAAATATATATTGGACAAAGCCATGATTAAATACATATGAATACAAATTAATCTATATAATTATTTTTACATTATGTATTTTATTTATCAACTAAATTGGAAAAATATTTTGGCCCTATATTGACCCTACCCAATTTATTGGCCCGGTCCATTAATAGCCCTGTCCATTAAAAGCCCTATGAGCTTGGCCCTGACCCTATTATCATTGGGCTACCCTGTCCAATAACCACCTCTAGTTGTAACCGAGAAACACAATTCATATAGACTAGTTTACTTACTTTTAAAAACTAGCCTTGATTCTTCCGTTTGCAATTGCAGGTGTGCAGGTGTGGAATATTGTTTAGTTTTATTTAGTGAGAGGGACTTGTTTTTGCAAGTGGTGATGATGGTGTAATTAAAAGCTGCCAAATTATGAAAACTTGTCGTATGCAATTGTTAAATTTAATTTAAAACATATGTAATCTTTCTCTCTTATTTAATTGTAATACGAATTATGTTAAAAAAAAAATAATGGTGTATTTTAACGTTTTTTTATTTTTTATTATTTTTTTAATTGAGTTTGTACCCCCCCATTTCTCAAATCTTGGATCCGTCATTGTATTTTTTAACTATTAGTTATTATTATTGAAGGTGTGAAAGATTTTAATGAGCAATTTTTTTGCTAGAATTTTGCTATGTGCACCGTATGTTGATATTCTTAGGCAAGAAGATTTTTTATGTGGTTTTTAGAGCCTAATTTGAATAATGTAGTCAAAATTGGTTGCTAATTTGTTGCAGCCTTTTGTATATAACTCTTCAATGTTGGGATGGAAGTATGACAATGGACTTTATCTCCATGGGTCCAGGGCAGCCGCCCCTCCTGCCCGGGCTCAGGTTCGGGCCTGCGTAGTTTCAGCTCCAAAGAATTTGCAATCTTATGAGAAGAATAATTTGCAGAAAAGTATTCAAATTGGTGTTCTTGGTGCTAGTGGTTACACTGGTTCTGAGGTAATAATTTCTAATATACTTGATTTATAAAAATTAATGTTTAATGGCAAAATTAATTCTCCATTTGTTGCTTGTATATGTTTGATTTATAAGTAGCAATTGTGATCTTACTAGTATATAGCTGGTGCAAACATTTTATTGGAATAATTATATACGAAGTATATTTTGTTTGTGTATATCTAAAAATTAAAAAAAAAAAAGAAAAAACATTACTGGGTTATCTTTGCAATGTTACTTGGACTCAGCATGACTAGGTTATAGGATTTTGCATATTTGGTCTAAAATGAAGTGTGTGTTTCATTCATCTATCTAACACAAGTAATTGATGTGAAATGAAGAGTTGAAGTACGGAGTAATATAGTGTACGTGTCTCTTTAAATTATTACAATACATAGTTAACTTTATGACGCATTAGATTGTGTTGTTCCTTTTGGATAAAGATTGGGAGAATCTCTTATGTTTTAGTTTCGTAGTGTAGCTTTAATGTTGTTGATTTATTTGAGATGTATGTGCTCATTTTTTAACGACTTTCTACATGTGTTCCTTCTTTTAGATTGTTCGTTTGCTCGCCAATCATCCATACTTTGGTATCTCTGTGATGACTGCTGATAGGAAGGCCGGTCAATCAATTGCTTCAGTATTTCCACATTTGATCACCCAGGTATGAAGTCATTGTACTTTGTTTCACTTTCGCTAGTTTGTTCTTCTGCTTTAGTTTATGATAAACCTGTCGATGAAGATGTTGATCTTCTTCTTTGCAGGATTTGCCAAATTTGGTTGCTGTCAGTGATGCAGACTTTTCGAAAGTTGATGCTGTGTTCTGTTGTTTGCCCCATGGCACAACACAGGTTTTCCCCTGCCTTACATAATAAGCATTGCACGAATGCACGATAAGATCTTATCTACTGGAATGAAGTCAGTGGGATTTATGCAAAAACTTCACATGTCCGTGTGACCAATTTCACTTCAGTTTGACATCAACATGTAACATCCTCCTTTTTTTGTTCATTTCTTGTCCAGGATATTATTAAGGCACTTCCTGGCTCGCTAAAAGTTGTTGATCTTTCCGCTGTATGTGTCCAATGTAGATGTTTCTTTCTCACTTTCTATTTTTTTAGTTTATATTTATATACATGTGGAAATTAACTGCTTGAATGTGAATGTTTGTGAAGGATTTCCGACTGCGAGATACTGCTGAATATGAGGAATGGTATGGTCAACCTCACAGAGCACCAGAATTACAGGTATGCCAATTATTAGTGTTTTTGGATGATTTATTTGCACCATACTTTTAGTCTTACCAAATTCTGGTCAATCTATACAGCTTTCCTATATGATCTATGAAGTCCTTCAGACATACAATAAAGCAAAGGCAAATCTGATGGCTTCACTTGTAAAACATGATATGATATGTCATAGCTAAAACTTACACATCTATTGTATTAAATCCCTTTCTTGAAGCAATGGCATATAAAATCCTTCTTAGGTCAAAAATGACAATTTTATCAATTATACTCTCTCATGGAGTTTTTATTGTTTGGACATACCAGGTGGTTCTGATCTATATTAGAAGCTTATGATTAACCGGAGATAACCAGTCCATACTGTTCTCTAATAACTAAGACTGTTATCAACATTGTTCGTTGTTTTGAAATGTCGTGAAATTTTCTTGTTTAACCTTTTGCACTCAAAATCCACGCGTCTATTTTTTTTTCCTCTTCTTTGAAATTTGTTTACTGTCTTGCCTCCAGAAAGAAGCTGTATATGGTTTAACAGAAATATTAAGGCGTGAAATTCAGAATGCTCGCCTAGTTGCTAACCCTGGTTGTTACCCAACTTCAATTCAGCTTCCTCTTGTTCCCTTATTAAAGGTTAGCAATTTCTATTCTGCTTCAAAAGATCTGCTTTGACCTTTTTTAAGATTTTGGCTCATGAATGGTTTTGTAGAATGTAAATAAGATTTAAATAAAAAGGAAAATGAATGTGTATGAGTGTATGACATTACTATTTCACCTTCTATTGTTTAGCTTCAGGCTATTAATCTAACCAATAAGGATTTCAAAGGTTGATTTGCATTACAATAGTGACACATCAGTGGGGCATAAGATTCATGATTAAAAGATATGTAAATCACAGCCATAATATTAACAGTTAAATGCTTCAAATAGGTACATGAGAGATTCATGTTAAAATCAGGAGCTCTTTCTATCTTTCTAACATCACTTCAAGTCTTAGCTACATTTGAGTTTGTGTTGAGGTGGTGGGGTGGGGGAAAGGTAGAGCTAAGTTCAGAAAAATTGAATAAATGAGAAGACTATGCAAGAACAGACACTTGAACAATTTTTAGAACATTTAGGAGATGCACGACAATTAAACCTTCACCTGCCAATAGGGATGGAAATGGATCGGGTTCGGATCGTTGGAGCTCCACCCGCATCCATCCGTTTCACCCAATCCATCCGTCACCCGCATAATACATCACCCGAAATCCATCCATCCACCATCCGCGGGGGAAACGGATAGGCCGGGTGGTAAACGGGTGGGTGAATAAAAATTAATTTTAGATAAAAAAAACTTGAGAAAACTATTTTAACCCTTTAATATTAAAATAATTATTGTAAAATAATTGTGATATGTCAAATATTAACATAAAAAATAAAATATAATCGTACCATACAACTTCTAATATGCAAATATTATATATGCATAAGATATTTATATTTATTTTAAAAAAATAAGAATATTTATAATGCTAAACAGATGGATGGATGGGTGACGGATGGGATTAACCACCACCCGAATCCAACACGATCCATTACCCGATTCACCCATCACCGCCTCTCATCCATATAAACCGGGTTTTTCACCCGTTTAATAAAGCGGATGGACCAGGTGGTCGGATCATCCGTTGGATATTTCCATCCTTACCTGCCAATCGTACTCCCAATTAAGCAATTGGTGATTTGTATCCCGCACATGGTACACTCAGATTAAAGCGGAAATGACATAGTATATAATTATAGAAAACATCATGAATTTATAAAAGAACATATCACTTAAATATAAAGAACACAATAATGTATGAGAAACTATTTAAAAAAAGGTAAAGATGATTACTAATTGAGTTTTACCAAAAATTTAATGTCAAATCATTTCAAAAATTCAGATATCAAGAATTTCTGTGTCTAAAATTATTTTCACACAAATATAATTCAAACCTTTCATTTTTAAATTTCAAAAATTCAAAATTTAAGAACATATTATCCAAGGAAAAAGAACATAATTTGTATTATTGATACCCAATGAATATGATTCGTTTATATAACTTAAAGAACATTATTTGTAATGTAAAGAACTTATATTTTAGACTCAAATAATATATTAATCAAACTCAAAAAAATATGTTTATTTCAATTAAAATGTGATAAAAGAACATTTATCTGAATATGAAGAACACCATCTTCAACCTTAGAAAATAACATTGAAACTGAAAAAAATAGATTAAAAAATTTAAAAATACCTTTTCTCTCAGCAACGATTGCAACGAATTGGTCAATTACATCTTTTAATTAAAATATTCATCAGAACAATAAAATCAACTTCATAATGACATTAAATCACTTCGAAATTCAATGTTTAACATGGTTTCTCTCTTTACATCAACTCAATTTCTCTCTCCCAACAAAAAAAAAAGAATTTTGTTTACCAAAAGTAATATGGAATGTAAATAATAAATTAAATTAAGGAATATGAATATCAAATCAATCCTTTAAATCAAGGAGAGAATTTTGAATTTTTATTTTTGTTTTGCTTGTGTACTTTGTATTTGTACACATTGTTCTTTACGCGTATTTATAACTCTTGTATTTTGACCTGGTGTACCATGAGCGTGGTACACGTAGGTGTAAGATGAAATTTTCGTTGACTGAGGTATGGGTGATGATTTGGTGGATAAATATTTAAGGGGTGTTGAAACTCTCTATTAGTCTACTTTTCACTGTCTTGCAAGCAATAGCAAGTGAGCCTACTAACACGTCTTTACTCCTGAGCTTTCCCTATTCGTTTGAACAGTGATAGTAATCTTTGTTGAACGTTGAAAGAAGTGGGGGTGGTATAGATGTTTATCTGAAGCTTCAACTTGTGTATTTTCTTGTCTGGTATTTTGCCTTGCAGGCTAATCTTATAGAATACAGTAACATAATTATTGATGCAAAGTCTGGTGTGAGTGGGGCAGGTTAGTATGATGCTTAAAATTCAGTTTTTGTTCTTTCAACAAATATCCGTCCATACCATTTCACCAGGGAAATGGGATTAAATTCTATCAGATCTTGTTGCAATTGTTTTAAGAGTGGTTCATATCGTAGGACGTGGTGCAAAGGAGGCTAATCTATATACCGAAGTAGCTGAAGGAATTCATGCATATGGTGTTACAAGACATCGTCATGGTCAGTATTTGATGTCCATCAAAGTTTCCTAGGTTTATTGTTAAAGTGAGCTATCCTGAAGTTTTAGTTGGAGACTTGATTGTTTTTGTACATTTTTCTTTCAAACAGCTTTTTAGGTCTGTAGTTACTATCTAGATCTTTGGAAGATGAATCACTAGTTTCATTGTTGTCCAACTCATTGCTTTCTTTGTTACATCTTTTTTGTATGTAGTCTTTTATAGTGTGTTGTTTTCACTACCTGAAAGTTTGTTTAGGATTGAAAATCATTCTTATAAAGGCTAGTGTTTTGTAAGCTGCTAAACACTTTGCTGTTTGTTTTTCAGTTCCCGAAATAGAACAAGGGCTGTCAGATGTTACAGAATCTAAAGTAACTGTCAGCTTCACTCCACACTTGATGCCAATGGTAGTTTATATTTCAGTGTGAATTCTTCTTTATAGAACTTTCCTGCTTGGAAATGTAACCTTTGCTTGCCTGCAGAGTCGGGGTATGCAATCCACTATATACGTTCAGATGACTTCAGGAGTGACTGTTGATGATCTCTATGAACACTTAAAAATCTTCTCCGAGGTAAATCCTAGACATTATTTGATATAATCAAAATGCCTGTCAAGTGTCAACTATTCATCTGACTTTAATCTTCAGTATTTTCGCTTCTTTATTTCATTTTTTGCAGAATGAAGAATTTGTTTTCTTGTTGGAGAAAGGTGTTATTCCACACACTCGAAATGTCCGTGGATCGAATTACTGTTATATGAATGTCTTTCCTGATAGGATCCCTGGGAGAGCAATCATAATATCTGTTGTATGTTTCAAAACACTCAAAATTGTTTAATTGTTTCCTTCACTGCACCAATAGATGGCTATTCCTTTATTTGAAGATGATATTAAACTATCTTCAGTCTGCTCTTTTGAGTAGCGCTCAGCTCAAAAAAAAAAATTTATTTAGTCACAAGTGAGATTGATACATAGTTATTATTTTGTATGTGTTCTGTATTCTTTCTTGTTCTCCACCAGTAGCATTGAGTTTTGTAAGCTTGTCCTGCAGATTGATAATCTTGTGAAGGGAGCATCAGGTCAAGCCATACAAAATCTGAATTTAATGATGGGATACCCAGAGAATACAGGGCTACTCTATCAGCCTCTCTTTCCTTAGGGTATATTTTCTTTTACATATGATGTCTTATTTTTCTGTATTCTGTATGCTACAAAGTACACATGCAATAAACCAACTGGTTGAGGAAACAAAAAAAAAAAAAAAAAAAAAAAAAAAAAAAAAAAAAAAAAAAAAAAAAAAAAAAAAAAAAGTTCTGATAATGTTTGACTGTTTGAGCATATTTCTCGCTCTACTAGTTGCTTTCTTTTTTAAGTAAGCCTAATGTCATATGCATCAAAGCTTTCAAAAACATTTAATTTTCATCTAGTTGAGGTCTTTTAGATAAATGTCATTGAGACACGGGCATTATGACTTTTAAAATCTGAATTGTTGCTGAAAATATGTAAACTTATTGATCATTAAATATCGCATCCTTGCAGGTATAATGTCAATTGGTTGTGGATTGCCAATTGTGGCCAATGGGAGAGATTAAGGCTTCTATTGTTGTTGTAACTTGTAACCGGTGGGACAATCCAACAATGCTGATAATTTCTTGTACCATGCAACCAAGTCTGTCTTTCCCCTCTCCACACCTAGAAATGCCCTTTTCGTATCATGTAGTTTTTAGGGACATTGGATGCTATTGAGGGAAGCTCAGGTTGTTGTACTGCAATGTGTGCCAAAAGTACTATATTACACTGCAGATTGGAAAGTCTAGATAAATTTATCCTTTTTTTTTGGTGCAAATTTTGAATTTTTTCAGTACTGAAGTGAATAATGAGAAATAAATTCCCTTTTGGTTTTCATCCAAGTCTTAAAATTTTAATATAGTGTTCAGCTAAGCTTGATTATTGCAATTAAAACCGTAATTTTTTTTTAAAAAAACCCCAATCGTGATCTCGTTTGTGGTAGCCGTGATGTTGTGGAGATGGCTTGTAACGGTTAAAAAGAGCCCATCACGGATTTCGCAGAATACAAGTAGATTTTTTCACTACTTAACTCATTTTCTTTGTATTTATACCATATATTATGCCCAAAACTATTATAAATACAGTATATGAGGTTCTTAGTGTGAATTTCAATTTGGAGTTATATGACTGGAAATTTGTTAGATTCTACCCACTAATAAAAAAGAACAAAAAATTCAAAAGTTTGAATAAACACTATCTTTTTTGGCAACGAATTTCGACGAATTGGGCCCACTTATAATTTTTCCTCCAAAACATCAGCCCAAGTTGACGAATTTGCCCCTAGCTTTATTAACTTTACTAACTACCTTCTCTCCCTTACATTACTCAATCACTCTTTCCCTTGCTTTTTCTTTCACTAGACCACATGAAGAATCTTACTCTTTCAAGCCATCAGCATCATATTTCTCTATCGTGGCCTCATTTCTTTTCCTTCAATCTCTTTCACATTCAACAAACATCCTTCAATTCCCGAGTTAGTACTTGTCCATTATGTCACCATTTTTGGAGGAATTCCACATTAGCATTTGCCATAGAAGGGTTTGACATGCTGCAATTGAAAATTTTCACACAATTAAGAAGCCATAAAGAGTATTTTCGTAACCGTAACTTATCCAAATATAATGAAAAAATAAACGAATTCCCCCAATTTTGAAAATCCCCCAAATTTCTATTTCAACAAAGAACCCTAGTTTTGTAATTATTAAACCCTAGAATCAAATTTCATAATTAATGAAATAAAGACATTGCATACATGAGAAAAATTCAAGCACCAAATACTTTCTCCTTCTTCAATTGGCAATTTTCTGAAATTTTGGCGGAGTTTTTTCAAAGAGGATGAGGGGAAATTATAAGTGGAACTGTAACACCCCAATAATTCTCTCTTAAAACCTGTAAATACCCTGAAGAAAATCCAATAGAATTACTAGCGTGCTACCGCCACGTATTCAAACGTTAAGGCTTTATCAGAAAATAGCAGCGGAAAAACTAACTCAGTTATAAATAAGTTTCAAAACCAATAACCAAAACCAAATTAAATCATACAACTTGGAACCATTAAGGCCCTTATTCAAAACCCCACAAAAGCAGTAAATAAATAAAACCAGAGTTTAAATAAATTCAAACTTATGAAAAGAAATAAACTGCGAATAATAACCAACTCTCCACTCAAAATCCCACCACCTTGATGCAAGTCCAAACTATGTAAACACCTGCGATGAGTCTGCTCCCCAATATTACAAGTGTAAAGATTGGATCATTACAGGGTCATTGAAAGGCGAAGGCCATGACCAAAGAAAGACACACAAAGCACGCAATCAGCAAAACTGAGTACATACAAGTTGCGAAACATAATAAGAAATCCCTAGCATGCTACTAATAATCAATCATCACGCGTCATTAGTTTGTAGACTCGACACATGACTCAACTATTTACATCACTATGACTCCATTAATTAATAATAGGTAAATCATTATTTTTATTCATTGGATTACGCAATAGACAAGGTTGTCCAACCCATGCTCCATTTGGAACATCAATAAAAGAAAAACCCCATGCCTCCTTTTGGAAACATCAATAAACATCCAACGACCACGGGCGCGACTCTGTGACCGTAGTTAGTATGAGATCTCACCTAACTCCTAGTTTTAAAAAAAAATAATATTTGAAATAGGAGACTCGTAGATCAGACGGCCTCGATAAAAGTACACGGCTAATACCCCGTGTACCCCAACCCCTGATTGTCATTACTCCAGAAGTGCATCAATCCAGAGTTTTATTACTCATCCATCTTGCACTTTACGTGATTTACAGGTTTAGACTTGGTGATGACTCATATGCAAACAATACAATCAATCCAATATCAATTCAATCAAGTAAAACAACTTTCCAATTTCAATTCTTGATTTATTAGTGACAAGCAACATTTATTATTTATTATTTATTCCTTTAACTACCTCGGTGTATAAACACCTTGAGTGCATAAGACACCCCAAAACCTTAACCTCGTCTTATAAGACTTGAATTCTTCCGTTACTCATCCTATTTCAATAGTCATGAATGAGTAATAAATTAATCTTTACACCAATTACATACCTTTGCTGCTAAGCGCACCTTGCATAATTAGAACACAAATAATACTTGCAATATAAAATAGTGCACATCATATGAAATTCACAATGTATAACCAAACAATTTAACTTTGTCATCCCTATACATTTTACTAAGTTCTCGATCCGTCCTTAAACATGCACCTACAAGCAAGGTTTCGTAACTTGTACGTACCTTGAATAAACAAATTGGTATGCCACTTAACCAACTAGAAATCACCTTCTATAAATTCCTCTCCTAAACCAAACAATAAGATTTCATCACTACCCAAACAACCAAATTTACAGCAATACTTACTTTAAAACCTTCAAAATCCAATTAAACAACACTTTAAAACCTTCCCTTTAGTTAAAATTATAGGCTTATATATAGTTCTTTATATTTCCTTCATAAAAACCTTAAAATACATCATTATACATGAAATTACAGCAAGTTTAAAGTTTAATAAAAATCTTAAAATTATTTAAAAACCCCTAATAGTATCCCTTTTTAATGGGTGATTAAACCCTCTTTATAAAACATCAAAAGTAGTACTTAGAAACTATTTTCAGCACTTAAAACTTCAATAAAACATATATTTATGCTTAATTAACTTTAGGAAAAATTGCTCCCATTAATCTAAACTTTGCCTCGTCCGCCGAAAATAATCTCAACTTTCGTTTATTATCTATTGCACCCAACTTTGGGGGCTATTAATTTTCGTTGCACCCAACAGCTCATCTAACCTGATGTAGCAGTTTACCTAGACACGTGTCAACACGTGATAGGTCCAAAAAAAAAATTAAAATGAAAAAAAAATTAAAAAAAAGGAAAAATACCCAGCCCCCACCCTATCCCGGAAAACACTACACCCCCACCCCCAACCCCGCCGGAAAAACAGCCCCTTCCCCGAAAACCCCTCCCCCGCTATCGGAAACCGCCCAGCCACCCCTTCCCTTCTCGATCTCGCAATTCGACCCTAAAAATATGGTGGTGGATGCGGTTTTGAGTGGGGAAAGGAGGGGAGTAGTTCGGTGGCTGGGGTGTGTCGAAGGAGGTTTTCGGTGGCTGGGGTGGTGTTAGAAGGAGGTTTTCGGTGGCTGGGGGTGTGTTAGAGGAGGTTTTCGGTGGCTTGGGGGTGCGGGAATTCGGACTGCAGTGGCGATGGTGGTTGCGGGGGTTGCTCGGCGCGAATCTGATGTTGTTGGAGCTGTAGGGCGGAGTTGGGGTGGTTTTCGGGGAGAGGGAAGGAAGGGTTTCGCCGGTTTTGGTTGGAAGGGGTACCGATGACCTGGGCAGGGTTGTCGGAGGTGGGGGCACAGGTGGTGGCGGTGGTGGAATTGGGCTGTCTAAGGGGAGTGGCTGTTGGGTTTTTTTTTTTTTTTTTTTTTTTTTTTTTTTTTTTTTTTAAATTACGTTTTTAATTTTTTTTTTCTATTTTTTTCAACCAATTACATGTTGACACGTGTGCAAAAAAAAAAAATCAGAAATGTTTACCTGATTTACTGGTTGCAGGTCATTTGGGTGCAACGAAAATTAATACCCCCCAAAGTTGGGTGCAATAGATAATAAACGAAAGTTGGGATTATTTTCGGCGGACGAGGCAAAGTTCAGATTAATGGGAACAATTTTTCCTTAACTTTAAACATAATTAATTTTATTAATCAAACTCAAGGATAATATTTTTTAAAACGTTGTTTGCACATGAAAAACACTACTTTTTTTGTCAAAATCGAATGATTTCAGAACCTGATCGGGATTTAAACAGGATTAATATTAACGAACGAAAATCTAAAAATTAAAACACGAATTTATATGTTCAAAATAATCTGGAATTAAGTTAAACTAATCATTAGTTATAATCACCAAAATTTCAAAACATCATTACTATAAAAGCCCTAAATCAATTGTTCATAAAACCCTAAAATCATGATTTTCAATAATTAAAAACCCTAGGTTATAAAATTTACAAAATCTGAAAATTATGACACTTATAAAATCTGAAATTATAAAGTTTAATCATCAAAATACAACTTGATGCTAATTAAATTACTTTCAAACAATAAAATCAAAATCCATAAATCAATAATTATAATTATACAAATTAATAAAACAAAGGAAATTGAGACTAACCTTTTTGTGTGGGAAATTTTTGGGGATTAATGGGGTATTTATTGGAGAGAATGTTGTAGGGTAAGTAAGAAGATTGAGCCTCATAAAATTATTGGGCCAATTAGGTAAATGAAATGGACTAAGCTTTGTTTGTATGATCATGAATTGTAGAACATAGGTTCATAAAATAGTTTGTGCTAAAATAATTTTTTACCAATATTAATAATTTGAAACTTTTGTAATTAAATTCCGAAAAAGTATAAATAAATATTATAAATAAAATAAAATTTCATTTATAAAATATTTAAAAATACGGGGGATTACAATCTACCCCTCTTAAAAGAAGTTTCGCCCTCGAAACTTAACCCAAAACCATAATTTCTCCAAAACCATTCAAAATTTTGTGTTTTATATTGTTGTAAATTGATTGATCCTCAACATGCACACTCAACAAACAGAACTTTATGCTTAATAAACTCGTACTTGGCCCCAAATTTTACATGCTTTAATTGCATGAAAACACAACAATATTGTTCAATAATAAGCAAAATCATGCAAACTCAAGCAATAAATAGAATAATTGAGGTAAAAAGCGCGAAATTACATAGCATTCTACCCCCCTTAAAAGAAAAGAG